TCCCACAAACACATGGAAACTGAATAACACACTTGAGTAATCAGTAGGTCACAGAGGAAATTAAAGAAGAAATTAAACAATACCTTGAAACAAATGAAAACACAAATACAACTTACCAGAATCTGTGGGATGCAATGAAAGCTGTCCTCAGAGGAAAATATATTGCACTGAGTTCCCACATCAGGAAAACAGAACGAGTACAAATAAATAACCTGATGTTACACCTCAAACATCTAGAAAAAGAAGAGCAAGTCAAGCCCAAAGCCAAAAGAGAGTAAATTATAAAAATCAGAGCAGAAATCAATGCAATAGAGACTAAAAAAAAAAATCCAAAAACTCAATGAATCAAAGAGTTGGTTCTTTGAAAGAGTAAATAAAATCGACAAGATTCTAGCCAACCTTATTAAAAACAGGGAAGAAAAACCTCAAATTCATGCAATTAGGAATGAAAGAGGTGAAATAACTACAGACCCTATAGAAATACAGATCATCAACACCTATTTCGAAAACCTCTACTCTCACAGGTTTGATAACACAGAGAAAACAGACAGATTCCTAGAAGCATATGAAGTACCAAAACTAGGTCATTAAGATGTAAAACTGCTGAATAACCCAATCTCCATTAATGAAATTGAAAATATAATTAAATCTTTACCTACAAAGAAGAGCCCAGGCCCAGACGGATTCACTGCAGAATTCTACAAGAAATACAAAGAAGACCTAATGCCAACACTCCTCAAACTCTTCAATGAAATTGAAAGGGAAACAATCCTTTCTAAATCATTCCTAAAAGCAAAAATTACTCTAGTACCAAAACGTGAGTAAGGACCCAACTGAAAAAGAGAACTACAGACCAATCTCCCTAATGAACACAGATGCAAAAATCCTCAATAAAATATTGGCAAATGGGGCTGGGGATTTAGCTCAGCGGCATAAGCGCCTGCCTTGCAAGAAAGAAGTCGTGAGTTCAATCCCTGGTACCGATAAAAATGAAAAGACAAAAAAAATATTGGCAAATAGGATGCAGAAAATCATCAAAAAGATCATACACGATGACCAAGTGGGATTCATCCCAAGCATGCAGGATGGTTCAATATATGTAAATCAATAAATGTAATCCACCATATCAATAGAGCCAAAAGTAAGAATCAACGATCATTTCTACAGATGCAGAAAAAGCTTTTGATCAGGTCCAATGTTTATTTATGATAAGAACTTTGCAGAAAATTGGAATAGATGGTCTTTACTCAATATAATAAAGGCCATTTATGACAAACCAACAGCCAATATCAGACTAAGTGGCCAAAAATTGAAGGCCTTTACTTTAAAATCAGGCACAAGACAAGGATGTCCCTTATCACCGCTCCTATTTAATATAGTACTGGAAATACTAGCCAGAGCAATTATACAAAGGAGAGAAGTAAAGGTGTAAAGATGGGAAAAGAAGAAGTTAAATTATCATTGTTTGCAGATGATATGATACTCTACATAGAAGATCCCCAAAACTCCATTGATAGACTCCTAGATATAATAAATAAATTCAGTAATGCAGCTGGATACAAAATCAATACTCAAAAATCAATAGCATTCCTATACATTAACAACAAAATCACAGAGACAGAAGTTAGAGAAGCCACACCCTTCACACTAGCAACCAAAAAGTGAAATATTTAGAAATTACTCTCACGAAAGAAGTGAAAGTCTTATACAGGGAAAATTATAATACACTGAAAAATGAAACTGAAGATGATATCAGAAAATCTGAGATGAATACACAATTCTCAGATGAAGAAATACAAACGGCAAATAAATATATGAAAAAATGTTCATCATCATTACTCATTAGAGAAATGCAAATAAAACCACACTGAGATTTCATCTCACTCCTGAAAGAATGGCCGAGATCAACAAAACCACCACCAACGAATGCTGGAGAGGCTGTGGGGAAAAAGGAACTCTCCTGCACTATTGGTGGGAGTGTAGACTGGTGCAACCATTGTGGAGTTCAGTCTGGAGATCTCTGGGATATGGGAAAGGGGTGAATCTGCCCACTACATTTAATGCCAGCACTTTCAGATTCATCAGTTTTGGAGCACAGTGCAAACTGATGCTGGATTCTTATCAGGAAGGGCTGAGCCTCTGTTCTTCCTGCGTTTAAACTTCTCAGGGACTGTACGTCTAGACCAACCCCTGTCCATGACTATCTCCCATGACTGTCTCTCACCCTGTCACCACAAGAGGGTTACCTTGGAAACCCTAAGGTGAAGCCGTTTTTTAACTGTTCTCAGTCTCAGCCTTAAGAAAGCAACTCCTTCTGAAAAATGGTGCCTAATTAAACACTCTTTGGCAATATTACATGCATTCCACTGGTTTCCCTCTGGTGCTGTTGTCTATCAGGTGGGAGGAATCATCCTGAAGCAAAACCCTACACTTCTTCAGCTACTTCACAAACCAGTGGGCTCCTACTGGGCCAGGAATATCTGCCCAGTCCACCGTTTCTATCATGATTTCTCAACCCCAATGTCTCATCTTATGTCTATGCAGACAGGTTTCTCTCCCCAGGAGGTGGGGTAAGCTTCCAGACTGCTTTATGGTTTTCTCTACATTGCAGTCTGTTTGTCTAACTTCTCTTTAGCTTTCAAATTTCCTGTGAGTTCTTTCCCATATCCCAGAGATCTAATTCTGTCATTTTCTGTTTGCCAAGTTGCTCCTCTTCAGGTGTCTTGATTCTCAATCTCAGCCAGAATGAATTTTGCTGCCTGTTGCTACTTCACCCTTTTGGTTCTCCTTAAATCATTAATCTACAGTGAAAGTTTTGGCCAGATAATATTGACCTTTTATTTTTTGTTACTTTTCTCCATGACTCTGTGTGTGTGTGTGTGTGTGTGTGTGTGTGTGTGTGTGTGTGTGTGTATCAGGGACCAAACTCACAACCTCACACTTGGCAGGTACTTATGCCACTGAACTAAATCCCCTGTCCTATGGCCTTTTTTAGATCCATGATTTTCCATGTTTTCCACAAATGAATTAGGCACTCTTTTTATATCCCTACTAGTTTTGTATCTATTTCTGTGCTTTCTCTTTTACTTCAGTGATCATCAATATAGTATTAAAACCATACTATATATGATACATTGTAGTCTTAAACATGTTATTGCAATGCCTCATAAGGAAGATCTTGCTCATAGTTCTTGTTTTCCTAAATTTTCTTGGTTGATTTCAGGTATTTATTCTTTTGGATAAACACTAATTCAGACTTGGAACAAAAATTAATGTAGATGGCTGTGGACTAGTTTGCATTTTATAATGCTAATTCCCACTCATACAAAGACATTTTGAGCATTAATTAAATGAAATTTTATTTGTATTTCTCAGTAAAATTTGTTCATTTATCATGAATTGCACATTTAAGACTAGCAGAATGCATTATACATGGAAGAAAAAAAGACAAGTTATAGAATGGGCAAAAAGATGAATTAAAATGATTATGTTTAAGACCAAGGTGTAGCTCGGCTTTAGAACACTTGCTTACAAGAGTAAGATAGAGTTTTGAATCATACCTCCAAAGATAAAAAATAGTCTCAATAGTAAAATGAGGTGAGGCTAAAGCTTAGTGATACAACACACATCTAGTCTGTGGAAGGTCTTCAGCCTGAAGTTCAGCTGTCTCTATGCCACTGCATTCTGTCAGTCTGCCCCAGGAAGGAGGACACATGCTACCAGTCACATTCTTGGGGGCCAAATTCGAAGTATCCTGGGAGTGTTTGATTCTCTCAGAGTTAGAAATTAAATCTTCTCTGTCTTGTAGCACCACGAGTAGCCACCTGATAAGTGAAATCAGCTGTTTTCATGCAAGTAGGCTCCAAGGGCTCATGACACTTGTCCCAAGTGGCATATTCTGTATATAAGACCCAAGGGCATGAGCTCTTTACATGATACTAACTTTCTTTCAGGGTGAGATCTGCCATCCACTCCTGTGTTGATTACTTTTCTCTCTTTGCTGGTACAAAATACTGTTCACCCAAAATTAACAAAGGAAAGGTTTCTTTAGCCCACAGTTTGTCGAGGTTTCAGTCCTTAATCAGCTGGCTCCAAGGCAGAGTGGTACACCGCAGAGTACAACAGTCTGTGATGGCAGAAGATAGCAAAGGCAACAAGAGCAAACAAGGAAGGAGAAAGAGAGCAAGTCTCTCTCCCTCTCTCATATCATATGCATGCTACCCAAACCAGGGTAGGTGCAGCAGTCACACCCATAATCCCAGCACTGGACAAATGAATCAGTCACAAACTCTAGATGCCCACACTTATGACTGCATTAAACTTTGGGGTGACTTCTAGACTCAAACCAGAATATTTTGTTTCTTCCCCTCTTCTGGAAATAACCAGGTCCCAGGGCCAGGTGTATCCATGGAGCACTGTCAATTTCCTGGGGAATCATAAACCTTGGAGGTGGTGAATGGCAAATGTCACCAGGAAACCAAGAGGATTTGTGAGAAATGCCCCCAAGTCATTTCTTGAGTCACCTGGAAATTACAGGATTGACACTTAAAAGGGCAAGAGGCTCAAAATATGATCAGAGCCAGAGCACAACAAATTGTCAGTAACTGTGAACTCTATTTCTATCTGTCCAAACTAGTGAAAGGTGAAGCTATGTATATGCTATGGAATCCACATACAATCCTCATTTTACAGCTTCAGAAATGTAAAATGACTTCCCCATGATCATACAGTGAGCGTGAAACAGGGCCTATTTTTTGTCCTTGCTCCAGCTGACTGCAGTCCCTGAGCTCTGAGTGTCATCATGTGTCACTTGTCACCACCTTCCAGGATCTCTGACCTGGCCTCACACAGTACACACACAAGGGACACACATAGCTGAGCTGCAGGTATTTTATTTAAATTGACCTAATAGAGACTAAGCAGGTGAGGCCAGGTGTCTGGATTCCAGCTTCAGGTGAGAAGAATGGGGCAGGAAGATGGTGCTATGATCAGGTAGAATGCTAAAGCAGGTAACTCCTTTTAAGAGACAGCGCAGTAATATAACCATAAATTTTCTTCACAGCCTCCACCACTGCTTTCGGATTGAACGAATTGCACTCTTTGCTGGAGGTGATTTTGAGCTGGAAGAGAATGAGACAAAGGCAGATACAGTTGGTTGCAGGCAAGTTCTGGACATTTGGCAGGGTTATCTAGTTCTCTCAGAATCACCCCACTGCTCATCTGCACAGATGGAAAGCTCTCTGTGGTTCACCTACTTCCCCAAGAAGCAATGGATCACAAGTCCTCAAGAGGAAGGCAGACCGTGCCAGGAAGAAGATAGTCTCCTGACCACACACAATCAAACTAATAAGACACGCAAGATGAGAAGATTCGGGAGGGCAAAGAAGGGGCTGTGTTTTGGGGAGAGGCAAGGTGTCTGAGTGTGGGTTTTTGTGTGATCTTCTTTACCTAAAACCACCTGCCATGTATCCTGTACATATGAGATGTATATGTTCATGTAATAAGCAATCTCATGGGTCCTGTCTGCTTGTCTCACTACAAGAAATTCTGTTCCTTGGTTGTGGGAGCTCATTTTGCCAAATTGACAATAAAAGTACTTTGGGAAACAGGACAAGATGCAAACCATTGAAAATATACATAATAGAGGAACCAGAATACTTTTCTAAAAGTCCAGGAATGCAAAGAGCAGGTTCAGTAAGCAGCTATATGAATCCAGAGGAGGCTTCAGAAGCCTCAGGGATACAAGCCAGGGAGTCAAAATGCTGGCTATGAGCACAGACACAATGCAGGTGGATGTGGCACTCATGGAGTAGCCATCAAGCTGGGCACTAAGGAAGTGAAGCTGCACATGAGATAGAAGGCTTCCAGCCTCTAAAACACAGCTCATGGGCGGAGGAGGTTAACACTGCTCTTGCTCTCCTATATCCTCTAATGGAGGTGGGGGATCACAAGAGTGGAATCAGTGTCTGCATTTCTCTGAAAATATTCTCCTGCTTGCCTATGCATGCTTCACCTCTCCTAGGTGTATGCTAATTATTGCTATAGGAAGAGATGTGGCAGCATAACACTCTGGATGTGCACATGACATGTTCTTGCCATACAGTGGAGCAAAGCTTTGTGGATTCAACTGTAGACAGCAGCTGTTACACTTCGCATGATTTTATGGTCCTTTTAGATATTGAAATACTACTTTATGCTGTATATTAGAGGGTGCAAAGAAATTAGAAAGGAAGTTACCAAGGCCTTAGTATCCAATATCTTGACTTTGAGTCCTCCTTCATTGAAACAATCCTGGATTTTTCCAAAGGCTGCCTTTTCTGCTTCAGTAGCATTTACTACATTAAGGGCATCAAACAATGGTTTCTTCAATCCCAAGACCACTTTCCCAAAAACATCATAAAAACTAACACATACATTATCTGAAAACACAGGAAAGAAAACATCTCATTAAAGGAATCCACAGGATGGGAGTGGTTGAGAACTATGTGTCTCTTCCACTTTTATCTACTGATAGCTGATTGATTTTCCACACAGTGCTACCTGCCCACAGGACTGCTGCCACCTGAGACAGAAAGCATACTCCTGTGAGGCACTTCCCCAAGGGATCAGTTCAAGGGCCAAGACAAAGGACCCTCTGTCCCTGACCAACATCCCAACCACAGCAGCCTGCATGTTTCTGCCCTTCACATGAGCAGCACCACCCTAACTCACTACTCTATGCACAGCTAGTGACCCCCGCAGCACCAAATCTTTCCTTTGGTACAAAGGCTGAGGGCTCCAGGGATTTTCTGCAGGGATCCTGGGCAATGATCTCCAGATGCTCATTAACTCTGTTCCTATCGTTTACTTGGAGATCACCAAAGGAAAATGGAGTGAGATGAACTGGAGCAAGGATCACAAAAACAATTTGCCCCCTCTTCCTATGCTTACCTGTCTGGAAGCTCAACTCCATGGTCACTAGCAAAACCAGCACAAGGAGTATCCCCTTCATGGTGTAGACTCCTGAAATTCTCTTCTCAAGGTGAGTAGTCTGCTGCTTTATAAGCACTAGCTCTTGGAACTGAGCCCTTACCTATAACAGGAATGCCAAATGCATGTGGAAGAGGACACGTGGTCTCTGCAGCCTGAGGGGTAGTAAGCATGCAGAACACCTCCCCTCTAGGGTGCAAGACTCATGGAGATGTTTATCCCACTTCTTTGGGAGTTAGGTGACCAAATCTTTGCCAAAAGAACCACTCAAGCTGACCTTTCTAAACTAACTTTTCTGAGCCAAAATTTTTATTGTCCCAGCTGTCACCTCTGGTTCCTGGTCATATCCTTCCACCCAACTCACCTGGTTCCAAATGCTTTACTTTCTGAAATAAAGCACAGAGAAATCAAAGTCACTGCTGTGTTTCCATAAGCAGCAAAAATATCATGAAGAAAACTGATATATGCCTGTATGTGTTTAACACATGGAAAAAAGTATGCAGGTTTGAGTCTGACTGAGGTTTATTAAACATCTTAGCTATTACATATAATCCAAAAACAAATAAACTTGAACATGGCCTATATGTCCAAAAGTAGATGAATAGGTATAGAAAATGTGAAGCAAACAATGGAGTTATACTTGACCATAAAGAAGGATACAGAAGAGTCATTTGTAGAAAAATGGACACATCTTGAGATCACAGAAGTAAGTGAAATAAGTCAGATAGAGAAGGTTAGATAGTTTCTCTTATATGAGAAACTCAAAATAAAACTGTTTATTTGGAGGGGATACTAGAAATCCTTGTGCTTGGATGCCTATGCCACTGAGCTGTATCCCCAGCCCAGTAAAAATTGATTTAAGAAAAAAAATACAAGGAAGATGATAGAAAATAGACAGGCAGATTATAGAGAGAAGAAAAGTGGGACTGGGAGTATGGGGAGATGACTTGAAGGGGATGGAAAGGAGAAGTAAAAACAATCAACATGAAACATGTATGTGTACCAATTGCCCCATAAAGAATGTGTTTTGCAACAATCCTATATTAAATAAAAATGAGGGAACCACTTAGCCTCCAAAGTGTCTGGATTTCTCAACTGAGCACAGGTTAGTACCATCTTTGGGATTTGAATCATTCCTTAAGAGGGAATTCCCAGGACACAAGGTCATATGGATTTTCTCAGGGGCTGCTAAAGCTTCCATTTTACCCATTAACTCATCCATTCCACTATTTGCCTCCTGTGGCTCCAACTTTGTCCCTTCTTCTGGGTGTCCCATCCATCCCCATCATCAGACATGGCCCCAGGAGCATTTTGAATAGGGCACTCCATCCAGTAATATCAGCAAACTGCATGGTTGGGGAACCATCTCCTGCATCAGAGATCCTAAGTTGCTCCAGCTCTTCAAGCTACCATGAGCTGGAGTTCTAGAAACCAAAATGTTAGCTAACATTTAGTGGCACTGGGCCATCTGCATAGACTCTCAAGAGTCCAACTCAACATTCTACCATAGCAAAGCAGTTTGGTAGCAGGAATCAGATGAGATGTCCCTGAGAACTGGAATAGAAAGAAATCTGTAACAGCTCCTGATTGTCAAATCTGGAACAATTTGAGCAACAAATTTGATAACGTTGCAGGTTTGGATTATAACCCAAGTAGAAAACATGAGTGTACTCTAATGTAAATACTTAAGTGAGTACCTCATAAGCAGCCTTGGCTTGAGCAAGCGGCAGCCACCACAGGGAGAGAACCAACTAGGGTCTCTCATGATCCATGCCATGTTAGAACTTAGGGCGCTGGGAAACCAAGCAACCAACTTGCCTCCCTGGTAAGCAGCCATGAACCAACCAGTGCGTGGGCTGAGAATCAAACATCCCATTACCCCCATTAGCAAATAGGAGCTAGAGGAATGAGCATCTCTTGAGAGACTGACCATATGCAATATAGCAAGTAGGGGGGATTTCCTTCTACCATTTCTTTGGTTTTTTGGTTTCTCTTTGGTTTTCTCAGCCATTCTTTTTTTAAATTTTACTTAAAGAGAGAGTAAACAAAACAGAAAATGGATAGAAATAATACATACTTTCAAAGAAAAAATAAACAGTAAGAAATCACTAGTTGATGATTACATATTACCCTCTTACAAATAGTTGTTCAAGATACAAAAGTGAAATATACAAAGTGGGGATTCAAACAGCAAGACTGCAAACAGTGCTGTTCAACTATCCAACAAAAACTTACTAATATGGTTATCAATCCTATACGCTTAAACATACATGCAGTTATCCATATCTTCATGTATGTTGAGATTAAACAAATCAAAGCAGGCTAAAATAACTCTAAACAAAGAATAATAGTATTGCTGGATTACACATCATGACACTACAGGATCAGAACTGGGTACTTTAGGGCCTCTTTTTCTTCAAAGTATTTGCTCATTTCTTATTTATTTTTAAAAAGATTAAGATAAAAGAGGACATTAGAAAGCATTTCAGAACAAAACAATTTAAGCAACACAGTGTTTCACCACAAGACAACACAACAGTAGTTACCATAATGTCTCTTTCTTTGGAATATTTGAGTATACCTTCATACACTATAGTATCAAACATAACAATACCCTATAAAACCATTCAAGAGAATGAAAGTATTACAGGGTATTCAGAACCAACTAACAGAAAATGAACAATGGTTACTATATTATCTCCTTGTTCATAAAAATTTTGTTTATACTATCACATATAATAAAACCCAATGAGATACAACGTGATAAAACCCATGGAGACAGTAAAACAAAAGCTTGGTAGGACTTCAAAACAAGATGATATTAAATCAGCACAAGCTATTACAATGTCTTGTTTTCTTCAAAATAGCTATTCATACCACCACAGACAATAAAATCAAACAACCCAGAATAAAACCATTCCAACTAATGAATTAAAACATTATAAGTCTTCAAAGCAATATAATGGGGAATCATGATTACCATATACTTTTATATATTTTTATGAATTCTTACACTAGGGGACCTATTTGATATTTAAACATGTGAGTTTGATTTATTTCGATTATAAGTATGGTCTCAAGTTGTGTACATTTATTTATAAATATCTCAGTGTGATCATTCTTTATAGCTGAGTATTACTCCATTGTAAAAAATACCACAACTTTTTTATCCATTCCTCAGTTGATGGACACTTAGGTTGTTTACAAGATCTGGCTATTATAAATTGTGCTGCTATAAACATGGGTGCACATATATCACTGTGGCATAATCTTTTCAGTTCTTCTGGGAATATGGCTAGAAGTGGAGTAGCTGGGTCTAATGAGACTTCCAATCCCAGGTTTTTGAGGAAGCTTCAGACTGCCTTCCACAATGGTTGCACCATTCTACACTCCCACCAGCTGTGCAAGAGAGTTCCTTTTTCCCCACAGCTCTGCAGCATTTGTTGCTGGTAGTTTTCTTGACCTTGGCTATTCTTTCTGGAGTGAGATGGAATCTCAGTGTGGTTTTAATTTGCATTTCTCTAATGACTAATAATGATAAACATTTTTTCATGTATTTATTTGCCATTTGTATTTCTTCATCTGAGAACTGTGTATTCATCTCAGATGCTCATTTTTGGATTGAGTCTTTGAATTTTGGGGGTGTGATTTTTTAAAAAATTCTTTATATGTTTTAGATAGGACTTCTTTATCTGAGGGACAGTTCACTAAGATTTTTTTCCCAGTTTGTAGGTTTTCTTTTCACTATGCTGGAGATTTCTTTTGACATGTGATACCAGCTATTGATTCTATTCTAAGATGTGATACCAGCTATTGATTCGGGGAAGTATTTCCTGTGCAGTTTGACTCCTGTTCATGAAATCTCTAACTACCTCTATGTCTTCAAGATTTTTACCAAATTTATCTTCCAACAGATTTAGTGTTTCTGTTCTAATATTCAGATCTTTGATCCATTTACATTTTAGTTTAGTATATGGTTATAGGCATGGGTCTAGTTTTAGTTATCAGCATATGGAGAGCCAGTTTTTCCAGCACCATCTATTAAAGAGACTGTCCTTCTTCCAGTGAACATGTTTGGTCCCTTTATCTAAGATAAGGTGGTTGAGTGTGTTTGCAGTTGTGTGGGTGTCTGCTAATCTATTCCATTGATCTTCAACTCTGTTTTTATTCCAGTACCATGTTGATTTTACTGCAGTTGCTTTGTAGTATAACTTCAAGTCAGGGATTGTGATACCTCCTGCCTTGCCTTTGCTGCTTAAGACTGTCTTAGCTATTCTAGGTCTTTTCTGGTTCCAGATGAGTTTTAGGAGTGATATCTCTAGATTTATGAGGTATATTGATGATATTTTTATTGGGATTGCATTGAATCTGTATAACAGTTTTGGGAGAATGGCCATTTTTACAATATTTATTTTTGCTAGTCATGAGCAAGGGATGTCTTTCCATATTCTGAGATCCTCTTCAATTTCTTTATTCAGGATAATTTTCCCTATATAGATTTTCACTTCTTTCCTGAGAATAATTCCTAAGTATTTCATTTTTTTAGATTAGTGTAAAGGGTGTGGCTTCTCTTATTTCTCTCTCTGTGATTTTGTTGACAGAGTATAGGAATGCTATTGATTTTTGAGTATTGACTTTGTATACAGCTACATTGTTGAATTTATTTATTACATCTAGGATTCTTTCAATGGAGTTTTGGGGATCTTCTATGTAGAATACCATGTTATCCACAAATAATGATAATTTAACTTCTTCTTTTCTTATCTTTACCACTTTTATTTCTCTCTCTAGTCTAATTGATCTGGCTAGTATTTCCAGTACTATATTAAATAGGAGCAGTGATAAGGGACATCCTTTTCTTGTGTCCAATGTTAAGGTAAAGGCCTTCAGTTTTTGGACATTTAGTATGATGCTGCTGTTGGTTTGTCATAGATGGTCTTTATCATATTGAGGTAAAGACCATCTATTCCAATTTTCTGTAAGGTTCTTATCATGAATGAATGTTGGACCTTAGCAAAAGCT